GGACTCCCAAGTTTAAATTTTCAGCTTCAACTTCCCCCCTAAACCCCAGACACTGTGCAGGGGATGGATGCTACTATGCACTCACAACAGACCTCTTAAATTGAGCATGTCCCACAGGGAACTCCCGATTGCCAGCTGTCCTCTCCCGGCCCCATCACGCCAAAACTCAGGGCTCTTGCCCCACCCTCAGCCATCCCCGTCTTTATTCTTCCAGTCGTTCAAGCCAAAACTGAGTCATCTTCCACTCCTCTTTTTCTCTCCTCCTTCAACCAATCCATCAGGAAATCCCATTTGCTCTATCTCCATCCAAAAATGTCCGGGACCTATGGCTTCTCGCTACCAACTGTGCCCCTGTGGACCGGCCACCACCGCATCTCTTACCCGGATGACTGTAGTAGCCACACAGGGGTGCACCAGCCAGTGCCTTAGCCTTGCTTCAGTCTGTCTCAACAGAGCAGCAGGGGCCTGTTAAAAGGTGTCAGTCACACCATATTTCTGTTCAAATCCTCTGATGTTTCCCCATTGAATTCAAAAGAAAGCCTCAGGTCTTCAAAGCTACCTGCCGGGCTCTGCCTGCTAGGGGTCCGCGCGTCTCTGTTTCACTCCTGCTTCCTGCTCGCCAGTCCCCACCACCCTCCCAGCTCCTGGACAAGCCAGGCGCGCTCCTGCCTTGGCTTCATGCTGGCTGTTTCCTCTGCCTGCTATTCCTTCCTCCCTGCCCCCAGCAATGCCACTGCCCCGCCATCTCCCACTCTCCTCTGTGGTCCATCAGCCTTCCCCGATGACCCTGCTTGAAGTCCAGAGGCCTGAGTGGAGACGGATCTCATCACCCACACTGGGGCTTATCAGAGTCTCCATGTCAGTACAGCTGAAACCATCCTCTTTCAGTCATTTTGTCAACAAATATTTGTGGAACAGCAACTCTGCCAGGTATTGAGCAAGACCCTGGGGGCACCCAGCCCTGGCCACCTGGGGGCTCTGTGTAGCAGGCAGGGGTCAACACCCTGTGTGTGTTAGGGTACAGTGCGAGGTAGCCGGTCAATGCATAGCCTGGAGACAGACAGGTTTGCTAGCGGGTAGCTGTGAGGTGTTGAATAGTGCACCCAATAAGAAGTGTCCAAGTCCCAACCTCCAGAATCTGTAAATATGACCTCGTTTGGAAAAAGGATCTTTGCAGGTAGTTAAGGAGATTGTCCTCAAGTATCCAGGTGGGTTCTGAATTCAGCACACATCTTTATAAGAGACAGAGTAGGAAATGACACAAGGAGACAGTAAGAAACAGCCACGTGAAGACAAAGGCGGCGGAACCTGAAGTTCTGCAGCCACAACCCAAGGAGAACCAATCCTCCTTCAGACCCCAGCAGTAACCAACCCTGCCGGCAACTTGACTTTGCCTTCTGATCTCCAGAACAGGGAGAGAATAATTTGTTTATGGTTTTAAGCTGTCAAGTTTGGGGTAATGTGTGACACCAGCCCTAGGAAACAAATGCAATAATTGTGGCATTAGGCACAAGCCATTTGACTTCTAAGACTCCCTTTTCCATCTGTAAAATGGGGACTATTGGCTGGGCACGGTAGCTCACTCCTGTAATCCTAGCATTCCGGTAGGCCGAGGACGAAGGACTGCTTGAGCTCAGGAGTTTGAGATCAGCCTGAGCAAGAGTGAGACCCCATCTCTACCAAAAATAGAAAAATTAGCTGGGCATGGTGCTGCGCGCCTATAGTTCCAGGTACTCGGGAGGCTGAGGCAGGAGGATTGCTTGAGCCCAGGAATTTGAGGTTGCGGTGAGCTGTGAAGATGCCACAGCACTCTACTTGGGGCGATAGGGTGAGATTGTGTCTCAAAATAAATAAATAAATAAATACATAAATAAAATTGAAACTATCGTACCAACACCCTATGCTATATAGCAATTGTAGTGATAAACTGTGAAACAAGCATGTCTCACACAATCAGGTGTATGTATTTTAGTGTTTGTAAAATATTTTTTTCAAAATAAAAATGCTTATCATTGTTTTTAATGATTACTAAAATAATATGTAAAATAATCAGAAATCACTTAAAAAGAGAATAAAAATAATCTGAATTTCGCAACTCCCAACATAGCCACTCTTCTGTTTTGAATTATCACACATATCCTTTATTTCATATTTGATATCTATGTTTAATTTCTGGATTTAAATCTGGCCCATGCTTGCCTCAGCCATTTGACCTTGGCTTAGCCTCTTGGTGCCTTCGTCTGCCTTGGTGCGGGGGTGGTGGCAGCCTTACTTGGCAGGGCTGCTGTGAAGGTAAAAGGGGCGACCCACGGAAACACCAGGGACTGGCCCGTTCTCTGTGAACGGGGAGAGGACGTGGGATTGCCAGGGTCCACACACCCCATGAAGCCTCGGCACAGAGCCGCCATGCACAGAGCTCTCCAACGTGGGCACGCTGTTCCCCACCCTTCTGCACCCCACACTGAGTCTAGTGGGTGGAGCTTCTCCCAGCTTCTGCACAGTGTCCTTCTCCCTCAGCCTGGGGCTGTGCACAGGCCTCTCCTCTTCCCTGCCTGCCTTCCCACTCGGCTCACGCACCTCCCTCGGGGATGCCGCCTGTGACGCTGAGTGTGGTTCAGGTGCTGCCACTCGGCCCTCAGAGGCTGGGGTCCCCCTGCTGCTACCCCCGTCAAAGCCATCCCACACCCTGATAGACTAAACTAAGCTTCAAACTCCACGAAAGCACAGCCTGTCATACCCACCTCTGCAGCCCCAGCGCCTAGCTCAGGGCCTGGCCCTGAGTGTCCAGAAAATGTCTGCTGAGCAAAGGCCAAAAGGGAAGGAACACGGCTCATGACTCAGAGCTCTCAGGGCTGCTGCAAAAGCCTGCTCTGTTCCCAAGCCCTCTGGGATGCCCCCACTGCACACGCCACAGCCATAGCCTTTGTTGGCATGTGTGCCTGTTAAGTTCATATCTATCTATCTATCTATCTATCTATCTATCTATCTATCTATCTATCTATCTATCATCTATCTATCATCTATCATCTATCTATCATATATATCTCATAGATCATAGCGTATCTCATATATATGTATGTATTAGTCAGCTATTTCTGTGACGCTGCTGCAAAACAAACAACTCCTAAACCTCAGTGGCTCAGAAGAGCACACATTTTTCTTGCTCTAGGCCTGTAGCTGCTCCTCTCATTCTGAGAACAGAGGCTACCCAAGGCCAGCTCTGTTCAGGGGCAGCAGAAACACCAGGGAGATGAAATGATGTCTCTTAAGGGCTCACTCAGAACTGGCGCACTGTTAACTTCTTCCCATACACCATGGAGAGGACAGGGAGAGAAATAAGAATTGTGAGCAAACAGTAAATTTACATAACAGCTTGTCACTGAGGATCACAGCTAACACGTGTGTTGTGTCTGCTATGATTCGGGACCAACACCATTCATTTATTCCTCATAACAACTTAGAGACGAAGGTACTATTATTAGCCTCATTTTAAGATGAAGGACATGAGGCCAGAGCGGGCCCAGAGCCCGTGCCTGTCCACCTTTGTCCTGCCCCTACGCGGGGCTGGTAGACTTTCACCCCATCAATGCCTGCAGGCACAATGAAATGCAAGTAATATTTATTGATTATTTATTACATGCCAGACAGTGTTGTCTGCTTTTATAACTATTTCCTGATGCCGTCCTCGCAGCGAGCCTGCGAGCTCACACCAGCCGCCCGCTTCACAGGCGAGAGCTCCCAGGCGGCGCACAGCCGGGCGCGGCAGAGCAGCTCTGGGAATTAGGTGGCTCGGGCCGTAAGCATTTGTTGGGCCATGCGGCTGGGCCTGGCTCCGATCTTCCCAGCGCTTTCCCGCCGGCCCTGCGAGGTGTGCGTGTGTGAGGCAGAGATGCCGGCCCACTCCGCGAGAGGAAGAAAGCGAAGGGGAGAGAGCGTGGGGGACGGGTGTGGGCGAGATAGGACAAGGCTCCGGAGGCACGGCTGCTTGCCGCCCAAGCGCGGGCAGAGTTTCCCGGCGCCGGCAGATGGCAGGATGTGGCCACGGATGCCCGCGCCGGCGAGCGGGGCGACGGGGCTGCGCGGCTTGGTGCCCCCGACCCTGGGGGCGCGCGGTGGCCGCGCTCGCCCCACGCCCGAGTGGCGCGTATCGCCCACCCGGCTCCCCAGGTCCCCGCGGGAGCCCGGGGACCCACAGGCGGACCCTCGCCCCTAAAGCGGACGCTGGTGCTGCAGAGTTTGGGGGAATCCCGAGGCCCACGCCCCGCCATTCCCAGGGAGAACGGTTTTGGGCAAAGCCCTGCTCTCTCGGGCTTCAGTTTCTCCAAGTACAATGACGGGGTCAGATGTGGCCCCAAAGGGTTGACTTTCATTCATCAAACATTCAGAAACACTAACAGGAAGAGCGTCTGTTGGAGAACTGGTCGACACCCCACTGCCCGGTCCCAGTGCGAACAGGCGAACAGGGCCCACGGTGCGTCCTGGGCTCCCTTGGGGCGCTTGCCCTCGGACCTCAGTGCACCGCCTTCTGGGATGGGGACCGTGACTTCCCGCTGTTGGAGTGGGGCCGGAGGCCGCCCCTCAGGCGCCGAAGGTGCTCACCACCCGCCAGCGCCCCGCCGTCCTGGCTGAGCCACGCTGGGGTCGCGGCTCCTCGGGGCGGGTCCCTCGCTCAGCGCAGAGCGTGTGGCCGAGCGGTGGCCCGCGGCACCCCGCCCGGCCGCCTTAGGCCTGCGCTCGCCCGCCGCGCCCCTCGCGCGGCCCTCGCCCGCCCCTTCCTCCCTCCTCCTCCCCCCGCGCCGCCTCCCGCTCCCGCCCGCTCGCTGCAGCCGGCGGGGCGCGCGGCACGCTGGCCCGGCGCGGAGCTCCGGGTTCCCGGGCGGGCACCGGCTGGAGGCGCGGCGGCCGGGCGAGCGCAGCCAGGGTCGCCCGGGAGGAGAGGCGCCCTGCCCGCCCCGCTTGCGCGGCTACAGCCCGGGCTGGGGGCGCTCTCCGCGCCCGCGCCCGCACCCGGCGGCCGGGCGAGTAGCGGCGGCGGCCGCGGCGGAATATGGGCGGGAACCACTCCCACAAGCTCGGCGCGTTTGACGAGAACCAGGAAGGTAAGGGGCCAGGGCGCCGCCGCCCCCCGCTCGGCACGGCCGGGCACCCCTCCTTCGCGCGTCCTCTGCCGCGCCCGCTGCGTGCTCCACCGTGGGCACCCAGGCACAGCCGCGTCGCCGCTCGGCGAGTCCCGACCCCTGCCGGGCGCGGCGCTTTCACCGCGGCAGCTGCTCCGTGTCTGTGCCCTTTAGGGCGGGGCGGATTCCGAGAGGAGAGTTGAACCCAGAGCCTTCTCCGGGGGTGTGGAAGGGGGAGCAAGGGGTGGCCTGGGGGCCGATTGCACTGTGCGCGTGTCCACGACGCGTTTAGGTCCGTGCAGGGCAGGTTGGGTGCATCTCTCCTTCCTCACCCGGGACGGCGGCCTAGGGAAACTTTTCCTGGCCAAACTCCTTGGCTCCGAGGAGGGCGCGGCTAGCGGCGGGAGGAGTGGTGGAGGCCCCAGCCTCACTAGACTCCGGGCCCGAGTCCCTGCTGCTCCGGTCGCTAGAGCTCGGCGTTTAGACCAGCAGAACCCCGTCCCAGTGCTGTGTGTCAGCGGCAACTTTCTGAAACCTTAGTTCGCTCTCCCTCGAGGTGAGAACTACGGCACCACTATCACCTTACGGCGTTGGGTGAAGCTTAGCCGCTCGCGAGTGGAAAGCGCCTCACACATGCAAGCTGTGCAGAGCTGCAGATGCTGCGCGCTCTGCCACCCGCCCCTAAAAGCCGGCTTCCGGCGACGCTGCCTCTGCGGTCTCCACTGTGCCCCGCTAAGGGCTGAGACGATCTGAGCACTGCGTGCCGGCACTGTGCTACGTGTCCGTTGGATCCTCTTAGCACCCGTGAGGCAAGTCCTTTTGTTGTCCCCATTTTATAGCTGAAGAAGAGACCTGTCCTCGTCACAGCTAGTAAGAAGCAGAGCTGGCCCTGAGGCTGGGCAGTCTGCCTTGCAAACTGCCATCGCCACCCAGGGCGTAGGCCTGCGCGCACAAATCCTGGCTTCTAGAACTCCCAAGGCTGTGGGTGCTGCTCAGATGCCGCCGGGACAGCCCTTCTCGAGAGGATAGATGAAAACAGTGAATGTAAAGCTAAGCGGCACCTGCTGTGTCAGGCTCGCCACCTTCCTTAGAGGACTTCCTGCTCTAGCGGCACTGGACGGCCATCCTTGATGAGCGCGGTAAAGGGCCAGTGCAGGGCTCTGGGGGTTCTGGGGGCCCCAGCTCTTCCTGGTCTTTAGTAAGGAGCACAGGAAGGTGGGGAGTCAGCTGTGGACAGAGGGGAGGTAGGCAGGGAAGTTTAACAGGTTCTTGTGTGTCCCAGTAATGGTTTGAACACCATGTAGCATCACTCCCAATTTTGGGAGTTTGTGGTTCTAGCCTGGGTCCAAGGTTATGCTTTTGGTAATTTTCTTAGCATCTTTCCCTTTTATTTGCAGAGGAAATTCATCACCCTTATATCGACAACTGTTTCTATCCTTTATCGAAGAAAATGTGCTTTATAATATTCATAGGCAAAATAGTTATCTCATTCTGAAAGCAGATCGGGCCTAAGGTTAATGGTCGCTTCAGTGCTTGTTGAAATGCAAGGTTGAGGCTTTCCTCGTGTTGCCGGCTTGCAGCCTAGTGACACATTAACTTGTTTGATTTTGCCAGCACATTTCTCATTTCCTTATGCAGGCAAAACAATGTTATTTGCCACCAACAGATTCATTTATTTCATAGGCGTTTATGGGTCATGTTTCTGTGCCCACCCTGTGCTGGGCACCAGGAATGTGGGGAGGGTGAAGGCGAAGCTCCAGGGCACGCACAGCACCTGGACAGTGCAGGGTGTTTAAGGGCCTTGATGTGGGTGAGTTCAGGGGGCTGGGGTGTCCCAGAGAAGGGCCCCTAACCCTGGGAGCAGGGAGGAGGGATCTGAGAAGACTCCCTTTTAGACTTGAATTCTGCAGAAATGGCAGGAGGAGAAGTGGTGGGTTGGGTGGGGGGAGACATTTCAGGGGGAGGCAAATCGTGAAGAGTAGGCATGGCTCATTTAGGGGGGCGGAGGAACTCAGTATTCCATTAATACATGTGAGGTATGAGGCTGCAAGGTGCAAGAGATTAACCCTGAATACCAGGCTGGTCTTAAAGGCCCAGTGGCCATGTTAAGGTGCTTGGACTTGATCTTACATGCATTCTGGAGTCACTGAAGGATTTTAAGCAGGGAGTGATATGGTCCAGTGAACAAACATGGTTCTCCAAACCACAGTTATTGGGTAGTAGAAGATGCAAACACCTACCTGACCAGAATAAGTCTGATTTCTAAGTACTTCAATGCTCAACTACACCTGAAAATTTGCCATTGCATAATTGTGCCACAATCATCCACATTCGTAGGGCAAAAGTTTAACTTATTGTGGGCAGGTGGCCATAAGCTGTTGATGTTAACATGGAAGTCAAGTGAGAACCATGTCACAGGTTAATTGGCAGATTTCTTTCTTCTTCGTGATACCTAAAATAATGGTGTTTTTACTGTGGGTGGAATCTGAGGTTAGGTGCAATAGGGCCCGTTAGCTGTGCCTCCTCCAGCTGCAAATGAAGGAAAAGCAACACGAAATGCTTTTAAGGGAACCGGTTGGCTCTGGCCATTTCTCACCTTCTCTGTCACTACCACGTGGTCCAAGCAAAGCGGGGGTCACAACTCTCGCTTAGATTATTACAACAGCCTCTTTAACTGGTCTCCTCACTCTGTCTGCTCTTATCCCACTTCAGGGTCACCTCAGGGCAGCAGCCAGAATTACCCTGTCAAAATGTGCAAAGAGCCTGTCAGTCCTCTGCTCAGTCCCTGCCCCCCCAGCTGCAGCTACAACCCGCACCTTGAGAGACTCAAAGCCGAATTCCTTACAGACGCCTGTCAGGCCCCACCCTCTGGGACCACACATGCCTCCTTCACTCCCAGCCCACTTGCCTCCCTCCTGCTTCTCAGACATGCCTGGCACCCTCACACCCTAGCCCTGGCAGCTGCTCTTCTAGCCTGAGGCCACCTCCCCCACGGCCCACAGCACCTCCTTCAGTCTCCATGAAGGTGTCACTGTCTCATGAGACCTTCACTGACGATCCATCTCAAAATGTCACTCCCAACCCCCTTCCTGGCTTTATTTTTCTTTGTGGCAATTATCACTAACATACTATTCATTTTACTTATATTCTTAGTTATGTCTTCTTCTATTCAGTTGAAACTATCTTAAAAGCAGGGATTTTATATGATTGACTCCTCTTAAGGTGTTACAAGCTCCTTAAAAGTAGGGATTTTGCATGACTTATTCACTTCATATCCTCAAGGCCTAAAACAATACCTGGAACACAATAGGTGCCTGATAAATTTTGGGTGAATAAATGAATGAGTGAATGTGTCAACCTCATCAGGTGCAGCTGGAAACAGGTTCCCAAATAATATTGGGGATCTTCCTTCTTGGATTCTCCACTATCCTCTGTGTGACCTTCTTGGGCAGGCTCTCTTCTCAGGGGGCTCCCACCACCTCTGCGTTCACAGCCTCTCAACTCTAGTCTGGAACAGAGAGGATCGGCTCACCATAGTTGCAAATAAGGTGCCAGCTGGGGCTATTCTGATTGGTTCTGACCAAGTCTTGGGCTTTTCTTGGGCCCAAGATTGTGAGCAGGGAGAGAAAAGGCTCTAATTGGCCAGGCTGGATCACATGACCACCCTTGGATTCAGGGTGTGGAGCTGGCTCCAGGTGAAGCACTTGGACTGAGGGTGTATGTGAAAAGTCTTCCCGAGGACATTGGAGTATCAACAAAAGAAGGGCAAGTGGATGCTGGGCAGGTAGGTGAAAACAAACAAAAACCATTCACTCCAGCACCCATTATCACTGTGTCCTTGGAACACAGGTTGGGACACTTAACTCATTTGACTGATTCCATGTCCATCTTCTGCACTAGGGTATGGAGTCTCGAAGAGCAGCAGTCACTGCTTCATGTATCTACACGTGTGGACACATAGCAGCTCTTTGCTGAATGAAAGATGGAAGCAATCACTTATTGGAGGTCAATTTCTTGCATTCCTCTGGGTTCTGAAGCTATTAAGAAAAAAACCACAGGAATTTCAGATTTATTTCCAGTAAAGATGGTTTGGAGATCATTCCTTAGACTTGAGATCAGAATGGCCTCCCTGCTCCTGTCCCTTGAGACTTGCTTGGGCTGAGAATTAGATCTGCAGAATGGACCCTGCACTGCCAGCAGCTTGGTCACTCCCAATCATGGCACACTGATAACTTATGAGAAATTCCTGAAAAGAGTTATGACATGTGTAAATGACAACCTGTAATGATTCGTGGATATCACACTCTTGTGTCTCATGACTTTGGACAGGGGTGGGGAACTTTTTCATGTTGGAAGGTGGGCCACATTAATTTAGCTAAAATAAGGCCACATTCAAGAAACTTCCATTAGATGTACTTAAAATGTACATTATTTTGTAAAAATCTAACTACTATGTACTTAATAATTTCAAAAAATGAAAACTATTTGTTAATTTTAAAGTTAACTAGCCTTTTCATGACTGTGCTGTGTCTGCTTTCTGCTGGAAAGCATTTGAATGTTTGGTTGCAGCAAGGAGGTTTGCAGCTTCAGTTGGTCCTCTAGATGAGTATCATCAGTCTTGATTTGGGTTAGGTAGGAGAATGTATAATAGATTTCCAACAATAAGTAGTTCAAAAGCAAGAAAACATTTTTAGGGCATGTTGCCAAAGGCGTGGGTATTCTATCTCATTTTTCCATATTTCAGTTGGATCTTACCACCAACCAATGACGTTAATATTTCCTTTACTGAGAGCTCAATCAAATCCATCTGTAGTTATTTAGGTGCCTTGATGAACCAACCAGGTAAGGCCAAAATGCTAATTTGAGCGTGATGTCATGTCATGAATCTCCAAGTCAGTGAACCTTTCACTGTATTCTCCAATTAATAGGTCTGTAACAGCTGCGTATTCTTCAAATGATTCACATATGCCATCCTACTGATC